AAAAAAATCCTTTTAAAATATTTATTTTATCTAAAAAAATATTTTAGCACTATACAAATTTAAAACTTTAAAACCTTAACCAATAACTTAAATAATTCAATGATTATTTTTTTTATTAAAAATAAAAAATATTAAATTCGAATAACATGACATACGAATAAAATAAAAAATAATTATTTTTTTATTTTGTAATCAAGATAATAATAATAATAAAAAACTGTAAAACCCTGGATGGAAACTTTCTAATTGTGAAAGCAGGCGCTGAACTCGAATAAGGAACAAATTGGGCAGTGCAACGGCAACCCGACTGGACTGCCAAAGGCAAAAGTGGCACATTCTTTTGAGAGAGAGAGAGAGAGAACTGGGGAAGGGATGTCATATGTGTGTCCCTCTGTTGTCTGCACCCTTCTTGAAAAGCAGAAAAGGGGTATTCCTTTTTCACATTTCCCATTATGCCCCCTTCAAGTTTAACCTGCCCTTTTTCTGTGGATGGGGTGGGGCAAATGGGCAATCAAATCGGACCTTCAACCTGTCCATAGGGGATAAATATATGGGATTTACATGTTGGCATGGCTCTCAAATTCAATTAGTAATATAGTTTGAAGGGAGAAAATGGAGGAATTTTTTTAATTAATTAAATTATAATATTTTAAAAATAATTTATTGTCATACACTCTATTATTAATGTTAAAATTTTTTATCGTAATTGATCTTTATATCTTTTAATTCATTTAAAAAATAACAATAGATAGAGTTTTATTAATAAAGACATAATTCAAGAGTATAATTGTCAAAAAGTTAAAATAGTGTGTTATTAGCAATTAAAAATATGAAAATAATCCCACTCAAAAAATTACCTTTTTTTTTTTTTTATTTGATCATATTGACTCAAACCTGGGATGCTTATTCTTTATTTAAACTAAATATGAAGTTCTATCTTTCATTTTTTTTTTCTTTGACCAATCACAAGCTCTCTTTGGCTGTAATCACATGTTATCTCAGTTTGAATAAAAGGAAAAGAAAACTATACACTTTGGATTCTTTTCTAATTTTATGACAATAAATATTGATAACAAGGCGTTTGTTTCATGATTGTCAACATGTTAAAACGATTGGATGTGCCATATTGATATATGTGTAAAAAAAATAGAGTTGATATGCCTACAATTTTAAAAAACTCATAATAGAATGTCATAATAATCACATAATAATATCTATTAATTTTAAATTTTTTAATTTATAATTAAAATTATAGATTTAAATTTCAATTTAACATTAATATTAAATATTTAAATCTCTATAATGTCAAATAATCAATTCTCTAATATAAAACAAAAAACAACAATCACATGATAGCAAAACAAGTAAAAAAACAAGTTGATCATAACTGTCATCAAATATAATTTTAAAATTCCTTTTGCGGGATGAGATAGTATGTAATAATTTTCTTTAAAAAGTTTGGGAAAGACTAAATAGTACATACTTAGTAATCTGAATGAGTAATGATAGGCGGGATTATGCCGGGGGACAAAATTGAAAGACGACAAGTATTGTAATAGTTAAATTAATAATTACATCACGTGCATAAATCCTCTTAATACTTGTCATCCCTTAATTTCGTCCCTGGTATCATCCCACTTATCATTACTCAATTTGAATTGGCCCAGTATAAATACTATTGTTGAAAGAGGAAGCATTTGCATGTTACTTGAACTTGAGATTTGGTATACACTGTTTTAAACAGGAATCCTGTTCCTTGAAGCAAACGTTTTCACTAACACATCAGTCTTCTAATAATTAGAAAATAATGCAACTGCAAAATAAAGAGAGGAAAAGAAGAGGAGGGTGTTAAAGATAAGGTCCACTGCTCAAGTGCCCAACAAATTATTGGGCGGATAAGGAGTAGCGCCCAAGGCAAATAGGGCATGGTCCCCTCATCAAGTACAGATGATAATACCTTCCCTTTGGAACAACGTGAAGATCTGGCAATGGGTGGGCATCTTTTTCTTGGTTTTATTTTTTTGGCTTTAGTTTATGGAGATATATATATATATATATATACATATATATACACACCTTTTAAGGGAATTGATCAAGCCTAAAAATCCTCCTTTAAGGAAAAAATGGGCTAAAAATTGGGCAAAAAGAAACAAAACCTTCTTGGTTAGGTTTTTTCGATCATCGGGACTTCTCATTTGTTTTCAAATTTTAAACATGTAAACCCTAACCTAATTGAATGTCTCTTGGTTTATAAACCAAACCATCCAAAATAAACCAAAATTCGAAAATTCAATTAAAAACCAACTTACTTCAGTCAGTTTCTCAATTATCGATCAGTTGACTGAATTTTGCCCAACCCTAAATCCGGCATATGGGAGTTGAAAAAGACTCGTGAAGAGCAGACAAATGGAAAGAGAGTTAAAGTGGGGACTTTATGTAGTGTAGGTATTTAAAGGGTTTTAAATTGTCCATGGATGCAAGTCCACTTGCTTTTGTCGTGCCCGCATAAATTGTGAATTTTGGGTTTGGGTCTTTAAGTTGGCTCACATTACCATGTATTTTGGGTTAACAATTAACATGTGGCTGCGGTCAAGACCGGCTATAACCCACATAGGCCAGAATCATTCCTTAGGTATAAATTAAAACCTTCAAATGTTGTTTGAGCAACTTAGTACGTGTCTTAACTAATTCAAAGATCATATCTTCAAAGAATCCATAACTAAGATGAGAAAAGTCAAAATCTAATGTCAAATGTCAAGATTGTTTATGAAATTACTTATCTTAATTATCTATTTATTCACTAAGATTATTTAAGTTTTTCTCTTATCATTTCTAACATTTTTATTTTCAAAATATTTTGATTTTATGCAATCCTTTAACTAAAATAATCTTTTTGTGTTTTTCCCTGGAAAATGGAGAGAACGAGATTTTGGCATACTTGTCCTGCTGCTGAAGGGGCTTATGTACCATCTGTTAAGTTTAGGGGTTTAAAAATCACTTTTGTAAAAGTTTAGCGGGGTATTAAATTAGAATATTTTGGTTTCCGTTCTTTTTTTTTTTCCTTTTCTCAGAAGCCCCTTCCCAGGTCGATCGTTCGAAACGGCCAGAAGTACAAAATGATATATTAGGCAGCACCGCGCAGACGGCGGAAACCGCAGCAGCTCAGCTCCGAAGTTCAGAGTCTCGTACCATTTTTTTTGGTTTCCCGCCCGGTATACGGGCTTCGTCCGACTACTCTGGACTCGACCAGCTGTGGCGCACCAGAATGGTGGTGGGTCGTCTCCAAACGAAGGCTGCTGCGTAGACAAGGTTTCGAACTCGAGACCTTGTTTAAGCTGGAACAAGCCGCTTGCCACTTGATCCAACTCCTCGTTGATCTCGTACCATTGATTTATCAGGTTTCTTCATAAGGTTTCTTCGTCGGGTTCGGATTGGTGGCAGACAATGACTATCCCTTTCCAGCCTAGCTGCGGTATAACCAATTTGGAACATAAGAAAAAGATGCGCCGCCCGCGGTGGCTACGATGGCACAAGACTTTAGCGGTTTTGAGGCTTGGGGTGCCTGAAGACGAAAGGTTTCATCTTGCAACAAAGAACGACGAGGTAACGATTTTCAAAATTTTCTAGCTTTTCTTCTTTTACTCTTTCCGGGTCATTATTGTTGTTGTTTGGTTGCTGAGAAAATTGAGGGGAATTAGAATTTGACTTAATTGATGACATTGTGAAGTCAAGACAAGATTTTGGTAAGCGATTGAGTTGTACATTTAATTGTTACCAATGCAACATATGATTGATTATATATGTAGACGATTCATCGTTGTTGTAATCAGCTGATTAAAGCTGGTTTCCTTCAAATGATACTGCTCTACTTCCATTGTGGGACATGAAATCTCCACGTTGTCAGAGTTAGACTCTTTGCTTATCTGCTTGAATGCTTCCCTAGCAATTACCAAGAACTTTCTTTGGTAATAATGATACTACCCACCATGGCCTGCAACCTGAATTGTCAGCTCATTATGTGTGAACATGACCTTAAGCGACGACTCACATCACAATTCCTCGGACAAGAGGAAGCTGAGAAATTTCTCTGGGGTCCACTGAGATCTGAAATTGATTAAAAGGTCAACCTTTCGTGTGTAAATTCGACCTTAAGGAATTACTTCCGTGTGTGTATTGACTTCTCTTACCCTCTCTAATGTATTAGGAACCTTCCTTCTTGATGGTATTTATGGTTCCTAACTTCCTATTCTCCTCATAGTTACATCCTACTAAATGTTTAGATTGTAGCCGACTGACTCAACTCCAATCTTAGCATCATTGTTAATTATACAGAGGGGAAATGAGCACATTTGGGGAGTGTGTGGTATGAAAGGAGAGTTTGAGGCTGCTATCGGAAATGATGACTTGCTTCTGAAAAGGAATCTATTGATTCTCTTTCCAATTGGTCGTGTTGGAGGTTTGATGATTTGCTTCATGGGAAAAGCACAGGTTTAACTCCAGTATCTCCCAGCAGCTGCTCCAAGAACCATTTGACTCCTTCATGCATGCTTCACCAGGATCCTGAAATGGCAGAGGAGGCTTGTTAAGTTAATATGTCAAACCAGATAAAGTTAGACCGAAACCCCTCCATCAGGGCATGCTTCCCAGAAAGATTCTCTGGCCGTCTTGATGAGAATAACTCTCGAAGGAGTTATACCCCATCCACAACTGGGAGCCAACCAACCTCTCGGAATAGTCTTAATGCTTCTCAGGACCTGCATAACATCAAGTACTCACCCCATGCACAAACACAAAGCACAATTGCTGAACATGTAGCTGCTGCTATGGTACAGCCAGACCTGGTGCCTGTGGTTACAAAGCTAGCCTCATCATATCAGTCTGTCTCAGCCCATACCAGTGATGTCACTAGCAAAGATGCTAATAGTGCTTCACTACCACTGCCTGTCCCAGTGCTGGACAAATTTATTGCTGAACCATCACTTACTCCTCTACCAATGTTACCCACAGCTGGTAAGTAGATTTTTTGTGTTTCGGGTAATGTGTTTCCTAAATAAAGTTCTGAACTGATAGATTAAAATCCTACTTCAAAGTGAAATTTAATCCTTAATTTCTTTTTGTAGATTGTCAATTGATCTTGTCCTGTTATTCCTTGCATGTCATTGTCTGAATTGAATCTTGTTTTCAAATTATATAAATTGATCTTGTCTATTTATTTCACCTTTTGGATTCTTAATCTTCTAATCATTTGATGACAGGGAATAGGACATCGACACGGCTTACCTTATATGCACCCTTATACCAAGCTGCACTAAAAGGTGATTGGGGAAAGGCTAAAGAATTCTTAAACATGCATCCTGGTGCCTTAAATGTCAGGATCACCAAGGGTTGGGATACGGTTCTTCATGTTGCTGCTGGGGCTAAACACACAGGGTTTGTGGAGGAGGTGATCAAAATGTTGAGTCCTGTAGATTTAGAACTAAGGAACAATGACCACAATACAGTACTTTGTATTGCTGCTGCATCAGGAATCACTAAGATTGCAGAATTGATGGTCAATAAGAACAAATATCTGCCAGGGATGAGGGGAAATAAGGGAGTGACACCTCTCTATATTGCTGCATTGTTTGGGCACAGAGACATGGTTTGGTATCTGTACAAGTTGACTGCTGATGATGATCTAACTCAAGAAGATTATATTGGCCTGCTTATTGCCGCCATTAGTACCGATTTATTTGGTATGAAGAAAATTTTACAGAAAGATCCAAAAATTTCTCTATGAATACAAGTTTTGACATATTGATAAGGACTAGTGCCTCTCTGCATTTAGCAGGGATATAGCCCCTACTGGAAGGGTTACTCAATAATAATTTTCCTATTTCTCCACAGATGTAGCTCTGTGTGTAATTCAGCGCCATCCAGAATTGGCCATTATTCGAGATCAAAATGGAGACACAGCACTTCATGTTTTAGCTCGGAAGCCTTTAGCATTTACCGGGAAAAGAGAGTTAGGAATCTGGGGAAAGTTCATCTACCCATGTAAGTGGTTTCTCATTCTTCTTCTTCTATTTTTTTAACAACGTAGAAGAATTTTGGTTCAAGAGAAATTGTTCAGGGTCACTGATATTCTTCAAAAGATTTTATTTCTATCTGTGGTTTCTATATTTCTCTTCTCTTGTAATAATGTTTTACTGACCACTGGTATGTTGTTACCAAAGCATCATCTAGCAACTTACTGATACTGCATTAAGTCTTGATAAATGACTCTGGTACATTGAGCCCTTCCCACAATATTTACATTAGAAAGCGCATGAATTTAGATGGTAGCCTTCTTCTTACCTTTACACTAAACATTTGCTCAAGCCCCTCAAAGGAACCCTGTCATCAGAAGTGGTTGAGTGTCTTGGCCTTACAAACTCAATATCAGGATGCATCAATTGCATAATCTCTCAAGTAATGTTTATATATGTGTCAACTCAACTTCGTAGTTCCAACTAGTTAAGGTATTAGATTATTTTCTGGGTGTCAATGACAGCTTAGGTATAAAGTAGTGATTGCTCGTCTTCGTTTAAACATACATGGGTAGATTTCTGTTGTGGGGCATCTGAGCCTAGAATGTTTCAGTCCTTGGTGAGAGATAAACTTTTCTTAGCAAATTTCTGCCTAAGAATATTGTTGAAACATATCTTTTAATCAAATTAACTAAAACCTGTATGCCCATTTAGGGATCTGCGTGGAGCCACTGGTTCAATCAAGCTACCCTTCAAGTATCTCAGAAAGCTGCATCCATCAAGGTTTCTCTTTTTTCCTCTCATTCAACTTTACCATTCAGACATCAACTTTTTTGAAGGGCATATAAGCTCTGATTTTTCTGAGATTTATAGTCCAAGGAAATTGTTTTATTTTATATACTTTCATAAGAATAAAGGTCATTTTCTCCTAAAAGCTTCAAATTTCATAGGATAAGTATCATTATCACTTGCAGAAACTTATATCTGTCTTGTAAAACTATCTTCAACATACTGGCAGGCAACATTTATAACGATGTCTGATAATAGGATGCTTTCTGATTTTACTAACATAACAGAACATTGATGGATATTGACTACATTTGTAAATTATCAGCTTTGTGGTATTACATAAACACAAGTTCATCAAATTTCTGAGATCAATTTTCAAGCTTGTTTCTAATGTCTGCAGTGTTTCTCAGCTTAACTGGAAAACTTCAGCGTACATTGGAGATAATAGGTATACATCAAATAAATTAATTTAACTTTTTTTTTTTCTTACTTATGAGTCCAACATTTGACTTGTCTTCACCTTTAGTCCCAGGATATGAGTTAGTTCATGAGAAAAAGCTACTGTATGTGCGAGCTGTTAACCTTGTGAAGCTGTTATGGGAACAAATACTGTCATTGGAAGATGCACAAATTGCAGATATACTAAGAAGTCCTACACAGCCACTATTTGTTGCAGCAGAATTTGGAATTATTGAGCTCATAACAGAGCTTATTCAGACTTATCCTGATTTGATCTGGAAAGTCGACAAGGATAGCAGAAGCATTTTCCATATTGCTGTTTTTCATCGCCAAGAGAAAATATTCAATCTCATTCATGATCTAGGAGCTCATAAGGATATGATCACTTCTTATAAAGACAAAAACAATTGCAACATACTGCATTTGGCTGGAAAGATAGCACCTCCCAATCGACTTAATATTGTGTCTGGTGCAGCTCTTCAAATGCAACGAGAACTCTTGTGGTTCAAGGTCTAATTTTTCTGCATATAAATCTCTCTATCCTCCTTTTGGCAGGTGTATAGATCTTGTAATCCAAATTCTTTGCTAAATTGCAGGAAGTAGAGAAGAATGTACAACCATTATACAGGGAAATGAGAGACAATGATGGTAGAACACCTCTAATGTTATTCACCGAAGAGCATGCAAAACTAGTCAAGGAAGGAGAGAAGTGGATGAAGAACACCGCCTCATCCTGCATGCTTGTTGCCACACTCATCACCACAGTGATGTTTGCTGCAGTCTTTACTGTACCAGGAGGCAATGACAACAAAAATGGCACACCCGTATTCATTGAAGCGAAGTCTTTTCTAATCTTTGCCATATCAGATGCATTTGCGCTATTTTCTTCAGTCACCTCCATTTTAATGTTCTTGTCCATTCTCACATCACGCTACACGGAAGAAGATTTCCTCAAGTCTTTGCCCCAGAGGCTGATTATAGGTCTTGCTGCACTTTTCTTCTCTATAGTCTCCATGCTTGTAGCATTTGGTGCAACCTTTTTCATAGTCCTCGGGCAGAGACTGGCATGGATCTCTGTTCCGGTAGCTCTAATTGCTTGTATCCCTGTAACCTTGTTTGCCTTCTTACAGTTTCCCCTTCTTACCGATATGATCCAATCCTCATATGGTGCTGGCATTTTTTCCTGATAATTATTATCATAACATTTTCAGATAACAAGTGGGATTTTTGTATTGGTTTATTTCTTGACAGCACAGTCAGATAATAAAATGAAAATGATATAATTATAATAATATATGTCATTATGAACTTATAATATGATATGTTTTTATATAATATCAATATTATAATTATAATGTCATGTAAAATTATAAGTTTATAATCATGATATGATATTAAATAAGTATAACGTAATATTAAATAAGTGAATTCATATAATTCTATAAGTGAATTTATAAATAAA